ATTGAAACTGCGCAGTGAATAGCTTTAAATGTTGAGACACAACTGTACTCGGCAGATGATTGCAGGTAAGATTAGTTCTTATTTACTTGATAATATGTGTAATAAGGTATGCTATCTGAACTTTGTTATTTCTAGTACCCATTGAGTAATTAAAAGTTAGTTGAAATACTTGTTGTTAATTAATATTCATTCATTATTAAGGAATACTAAATCACAGTAATTTAAAAATGAACGTATTTCGTCCGAAACAAAATTTCAGAATATACAATCACAGCATTTTGTGTAAGAGGTGAAAATTAAAACCTGAGGAGAATAACCGAAGATTTAGAGGAAAATGGATAATGGTTCTGATAGCGGATAAACTGCGAAATCGTATTCTTGAAAATAAAAGCTAAGAGAGAAAATTCATGAGAAAAAATTTGACCCTATGAGAAATGAACGCGTTGTAGAAGAAAAAGACTTAGCTTTAGCAAAACAATAGAATATTCTTTAAATAATAGATGCTCGAGTTGAAAAGGAAGAATAATTTACCAATACAGAGAGTAGATATCCATTTTAAAACAGAATTACAGAAACTTGTGCCCAAATTTGGTGGAAAACAAAAGATGCGATAAGTTTGATCTTATAGCTATTTGAATGATATTCATAATTCATGTAGATATCAAAAGATAACCGAATAACTCAAACGACTAGGGTTTTTGCCTTCCGACGTTACAAAAGAGCCAAACAGAGAGGGCGGTGTGATACATTTACATTATGTGTGCTTTGTTAAATTAAATTAAGTAATGGAGAAGAAAGCTGCAAGAGAATTTAGCGCGATATATCAGTGATTTGTATAAAAAATTAATATTAAGGTTAAAATAGGAATAAATAAAACTGGATTGTGTATTCTTAGATGTGAGAAACTTCTGATTACTAATGATGGTTTATTGGAAGTACCCACGTAGATAATTATGAGACATTTCAAGCTAAAGAAATTATATTGAGGAGATCTTGGATTGGCATAAATTACAGAGTATGAGGGAACACAAATTAAAATTAACTTCTATTTATTGGGGAATTTATTGTTTAATAATTCATTTAAATAAATTAATGACAATGTTTCCTCTTCTCTACTCTGTAATTGTATTTGTTGTTATTTAATGTTAACATTTTATTATTATATGACGCTTAAGGGTTGAATTGTTTGAATGATAACCATCACATTAAGTAGAAGTTATAAATTAAGGTGCGCGGAAAGGATGTTTAACTTAGTCGTAAAGCACTCAGTCGCTCGAAACATAAGTCTCAGATTCTGTTCTGTGCTGAAGCCTATGTCTTTCAAATGTGTCAGTCCAAATATACATACACATATATATGTAATAAAACTACTCCATTACTGTAATAAGACTGCGTTGTTATTGTAATAAGATGACTTGGTAGAAGTAAGTTGCATAGGATTGGCGGTGGTTCTCTCATTTACTTGAAGACAAGTTGATTGCGTAGTTAGAACGATGAGTGCATAAACCAAAAAACTTGCAGACATGGCCTAAATTCCACAAATAATTTTATTTCTGGATAATGCGCACTATCGCACCCCCAATTTTGCACAGATTACATCTTCTTAAAGAACGAAAATTAGAAAAGTAAAAATAACGGCAAGGCGACACAAGTACCTGGAGCAGATGAGAAGACAGAAGTGAAAAGCAAAAAGAGGAAGACTTGCAACGCAATTAATCTTTTTATACGAATTCCATTTCAAATCACATGGCAGTTTAATGTACTGGAGTTGGGTTCAGACTTCATCGATAAGTTCGCAATACAGATTAGATGACAGATCTTTTTCGTTTAGTTAAAAGATTTATTGCTCGATTATTTTTAGAATGAAGACAGAAGCTAAAGGGCTATTAATATATTATTTGAAAGCTAGATTTTATATTTTAGATATTTTATATTATATATATATACACTCTTGGACTAAAAAAAAAAAAAAAAAAAAACGACGCACCAAGAAGGAGTTATCTGGTTGGGACGAAAATCGGTAGAAGTGATGTACATGTACAGAAAAACAAATGATTACAGTTTGAGAAAAATTGGATGATTTATTGAAGTGATAGAGCTTCACAAAGTGAGAAAGTCAGTAACGCGTTTGTCCACTTCTTGCACTTATCCAGGCAGTTATTCGGCTTGGCATCGATTGATAGAGGTTGCGGATGTCCTCCTGAGGGATATCGTGCCAAATTCTGTCCAATTGGCGCCTTAGATCGTCAATATCCCGAGCTGGTTGGAGGGCCCTGCCCATAATGCTCCAAACGTGCTCAATAGGAGAAAGATCCGGCGACCTTGCTGGCCAAGGTAATGTTCGGCAAGCACTCATTCAAGCAGTAGAAATATGTGCAGTGTGGCGGCGGGCATTATCTTGCTGAAATGTAAGCCCAGGGTGGCGTAACATGAAGGGCAACACAACGTGACATGAACGACCTTAGAACTTCGTCGATGTACCGCTGTGCTACAAAATTGCGACGGATGACAACCAAAGAGGTCCTACTATGAAATGAAATGGCACCCCAGATCATCACTCCTGGTAGTCAGGTTGGTATCACACCGCTCTCCGGTGCGTCTCCAGACTCGCCTTCGCTGGTCATCGGGGGTCAGTTCAAAGCGGGACTCATCACTGAAGACTATTCTACTCCAGTCAGTGACATTCCAGTGCGAATGAGCCCGACACTATTGCAAACGGGCTTGACGTTGTACAGAGGTCAATGGTAGTCGGCGCAAGGGGCGCCGTGACCTCAGCCCCCTTTCTGTGAGCCGTCTATGAACGTTCCTTGCGGTCACTAAAGCACTAGTTGCACGTACAATCGATGATAATGATGCATTTGGGGCTGTAAGTGCCGCTCTGACGATTGCTCGGTCTTCACGTTCTGTCGTTTCTCTAGGCCTACCGCTTCCTTCTTGACGCTGTGTGCGGCCATGGTTCACCCATTCCTGCCAACATCGTCTAATAGTGGCATCACTCCTGCTCAAATGTCGAGCTATTCGCCGATAAAACCAACCGGCTTCTTTGAGCCCAACTACACGACCTCTCTCAAATTCTGACATCTGCGCATATCGTTCGCGCACCTGTATGCGAGGCATAGTTACTTTCTACCAGAGTACACGGAATGAAATTCGTGAAGAATTTATGACCTGGAATCATAATTTCTCCTCTTAAATATCCTGCCAGTTGCGCAGATCAGATGCGCTGTAACGACAACCGTTCATTCATTGGCAGCCAAAATGTAAAATTTGCATGTTCCGTCAAAACCTATATGCATATAAATTTGTGTCCAATTTGATTTATATCTTCTCGGTGCGTCGTTTTTTTTTTTTTTTTTTTTTTTTTTTTTTTTTTTTTTTTGCGGAGTTTCCACCTGTCTGTTTCATTTTCTTTTGTTAGTTTTAGAGAGTAATAATTTTATCAAGTCGTTAATTAAGCTACTTTTATCAAGTCGTTTAATGGGCTAAAATTTCTAGATTTCTTTTGCAGTCTGAACAAATGAATTATCTGTAACCCTTTTCTGATACATAAAGCAAATGTCATAAATGCGTCTACGACGTGAATGCAGATTCTCATTTCAAAGCATATGTTTGGGTTGATAAAAGGAGTAAAAGTTTACATACTATAAAGAACAAAAATTAAGGGGGGAAAAACGTGATTTCACAAACTTGCTTTAATATGTTATTTGTTCAAATAAATATATTTTTCTTCCGCGGAATAAAAATGAAAAAGCACGAAAGTCCATTGGCAACAATTTTACATTCATGTAGCAAGAACAGTATTCCCTTATTGCTTCAAACATAAGCTTTTTTATGAATATTACTGTAAAATTTAAAAGTACGATTGTTATATCTGGTTAAGGAAATATTACGTCTTTCGTTTATTTGAAATATTTTTTATTCTTATAAGTAGCGCGGTTTATTGTTAATCTATTAGCAAAATAAATAGATGGTTAGAAATTAATACAAGTTCTAATAATCCTAATACCTACTGCTAATAATATTCGCGTTTTCAATGCGTAGAGAAGGTTTTAAAAATACAAATTTTCTTTTCAAAATATCTCTTATTAATTTATGGAATTTGATTGCTGACTAATTAACTGATATGTCTGATGAACACAGCACCTCTTAGGAGCAGAAAATTTTTAATATAGGACTCTTAAAATTGAAAACCGTTTATATAAATAAATTTATTTATAATGCAAAATTAATTAGCAACATATAAAATTATGCACACTGCATGTTTATTAAACTGTCTTTTACAAAGTAAAAAGTGTTTCAAATTGGAATTTCAGTCGGTTTTCAGTGATCACGTTTAGACTGATGTTACAAATCATGAAAATTTTACAGTACATTTTGTCACTGATAAAAAAATATTCTTTTGTCAATAATAAGAAACATTTTACTACCATGCTTTCTTTAAATTCCATAAAAGACTTGAATTTTTAATGTAGATGGAAAAAATCACGTCTTCTTTGCTTAGAATTATATTCCCTATGACTTGTTTCGAAGTTGTTAACAGTGTTTTCCTCAAATATTGAGTGCTAGAAATCAAGAATGGCAGACGATATATCATAATCAAAAACAAAATGAAAAGGGTAAAAATTATTAGTAGGAAATTTGATACCGCCCAAAAACAGGCATGTCTTGTAAAATACCATTCAAAAGAACGGAACAAAATCTTTCTGTTATACTAACGATTTAAAAAGACTTGGTGTAACAGCTGTGTAAACAATAAACTCCTGCGACTCAACGTAAAGGAAATATTGCTTTTAAAGTTAACAATAACAATATAGGAAAACACATTTCATTTTCGTTCACCTTATTTGTCGTTCGATATTATATGTGCCATTCTCCGTATACTTATTTAGAAAGAACAAAGCAAACACAGACTTACAGTATTTGCCGAAGTATGATTGTCTATATAAAGGGCGTTTATAGATTAAATTTCACGCATTTGAGTGAGCCAGCCCAAATCAGCCATGGACTGGTTAACACGCTACGCCTTGCTTTTTGTCCTAATCTTAAGTCAGCGCAACAGCGCTTTTGGCGGTAGCATTTCTAGTGAAGAAATTTCTTCTTCTAGACCAAATTCAGCTCAAACCTTTGCAACATCTTTTGTTAACTATATAGTAGCTTCTGGAGTATTTCCAGAGCAAGAGGAGGAAGATATGAAGGAATTCATTGAGACATTATCCATGGCCGTGACAAGTTTAACTAATAACAAGTGGGCGTCACGTGCTAAAATTGAAGCATTGTCAATGGCATTTGCATCCGCAATGGCTGAACTCATCGTGATAGAAGATGATGACGGTGAAAATGTGTCTAGTGACCTTAAAGTAAAAGTCATATCTGATGGCTTAGCTCAAGCATTCAAAGAAACAACTGGTTCAGTGAATGAGGGATTTATAGAGGAAATTCAAGAATTACTTGGCATGTTCGCGCATGCTGTTGTAAGTGGCATAAATGAGGCTGACAGCACAGCTGCTTACTTGCCATCTGAACCTGAGCATAATGCTAAGCTGGCAAAAGCCTTTGAATTTGCATCTGGTACAGGAACAGTATCTACAGACAAAGAAACGACATCTCAACAAGTTACATCTGCTTCATCTTCATTTACAGAACAGTTATATAATGCTCTTATAAATGACCCCGGATTTCAGAGCGCTTTCAGTGGAACAGTCTCTACAAATATTATTAATGCTTTTGCGACAGCAATAGCCGGATCTGTCGCATCAGCTTCTGAGTTCAGTTCAGTGGGTTATTCCTCATTAGTGAAAGCATATCTACAAGCATTGTCGAGTGAAAAAGATGGTGCTACTGTTGAAGATTATGCTAGAGCGATAGCTACTGCTACTGCTAATGTATTAGAGCAAAATGGAATTTTCTCTGAAGGTGTCGTATCAGGGCATATAACAGCTGCTGTGAATGCCATTACTAGTGGTATTTCTAGTGCAAAAATTACAGAAAAAGCTGTTTCGACTACTTCTGTTGGATTGGAAACTGCTGTTTCTTCTGATACAGGAACTACAACTGTTCTTGGACATGTTCCAGCATATACTGCTCCAGCTGGTACACCGGCAGTAGCTATAAATTTTGCCCGACAAATTTATATTTCCCTTCTGGCTGATCCTAGCTTTAGTAATGTTTTTCAAGCTCCCATTTCACTCGATCGAGTAAAAATATATCTTGCAGCTCTTGCAAAATTCATCGTATCAATACCTAGATATTCCGTAGTCAGTGCCGATGAACTTGTTAATGGTTACTTAGGAACTATTATTGGCATTCCACCCGGGTCAGCACCTTCTATTTATGCTCAAGCAATCGCACGAATTACTGCTGATACTATGTATAGGAATGGTCTCTTAAGTTTAGATACAGTTAATGCAGAATCAGGTATCGTGCAAAATGCTATACAAAATGCTTTACGTTCAGCTGCACTGGAATCTAGCGCAATAATTTCTGAGACAGAACAAACTTCTGCAGATCAGAAACCAATATCAGAACACACCATAGATGATCATCCTTATATTGCTCCAGAAGGAACACCAGCAGTGTCAGTTGCATTTGCCAAAAGAATTTACTTGGCTTTAGCGACAGATAAACGATTTGTTGCAGCTTTCACAGAACCTCTTTCTTTGACAAGAGCTAGAATTTACCTTAGCGCTCTTGCAAAATCTTTATGTGCATTACCAAGGTATAATACTATTAGTGACGAAGAGCTGGTAGAAGGATATATAGAAGCTATTTCTGCTGTCAACAACGGCTCCTACTCCAGAGTTGTACGCTCAGGAAATAGCTACAGTTACCGCTCTTATATTCTACGAGAATAATTTGCTGACATGGCAAGCTCTTACAGCAGGATCTGCTGCTTTGCAAGGTGCAATTCAGAGTGCTCTAAACGCCGCAGCTGAAGAAGACACTTTAGCTTCTAGTGCTACATTTACAGAAACAAGTACTACTCAGATTTCATCTGAAAGTCAAACATCTGCAGTCTCTGACTCAACCACACTTACAGGATATAATCCTACGGCTGGTTCAACTCCTGTTGCAAGGAATTTTGGAAGACTAATATACAACTCTCTTCTTGCAAATGAGAAATTCTCTTCCGTGTTTGGCATTGGTAACTCTTTTGCAACTATTAGGTTATTCCTTACAACATTAGCTACCTCAATTTGTTCCTTTCCGCAATTTAGCTCTGTTACTGTGAGTGAACTTGTTGGTAAGTACATTCAAGCAATAACACCTATTCCTCAAGGTTCAGACATCCATCAATATGCTCAAGCTATTGCGCAAGCAACAGCTGAAATAATGAGCTCACGCAAACTGTTATCTTTACAAGGTGTAACAGCTTTGTCTTCTTCTTTAGAAAGTGCTATCAATAGTGCTTTGGAATCCTCATCCAAATCAACTAGTGTAGCCGAAAAAAGCAGCAGTGAAATTGTTACAACTGCAACTGCGGAATCTGGTGAAACAACTGAAATTACTTTCTCAAGTTTTGTTAAGCAATCAGGAATCGCATCAAAATTTGCAAGTTCACTGTATAATTCCCTTATGTCTAACGAGTTGTTCCAGGCCATTTTCAGTCATATACAGAATGCTGAACATCTCGATTTATATGGAAAGGCTCTTATTAAAAATGTTCTTACTCTGGGAAACATAAACATTTCCGAATTATCTGATAGCTTGCTGAAAGCATTCCAGACAATACCTTTGGGATCAAGTTTGTCGCAATATGCACAAGTTATAGTAAATACTGTAGCTGAAGCTTTTATTAAACATGAAGTATTAATTCCAGGTAATGAAGAATCTCTGGCTGCTTCAACTCTGAACGTTCTAATAAGTGGATTAAAAGAGCAGTCTGAAGAAGAAACTGCTCAAGTTTCCATTTCGGAAGAAACAGCTGCTATACCGGTTGTAGCAAAGGTAGAAACAGCTGAAAGAGCATATTCCGCACCAGCAGGCTCAGACCCCTCTGTTTCATCATTTGGGAGGAAAATTTATGATACACTTTTAAATGATCCAACATTTAGTATTGTGTTTGGTGCTGATATATCTACTGAAAATGTTGAAGCATATTTAAATGAAATTGTAGAATCGATTTTAGGATCTCCAGAATTTCAGTCATTAAATCCAGAAGAATTACTTCGAGCTTATTTAAAAAGCCTGGCTAATATAGCGGACAATGCTTCTATTTACGATTATGCCCAGCTTCTTGCTGAAGTTACCGCTGAAGTTTTATACGCAGCGCATTTACTTGACGACAATTATGCGGTACAGGCATCTGTCGCAACGGATGCAATTTCTAAAGGATTAAATAAAGTAAGGGCGTCATCACTAACTGAAACTGTAAAAACAGATACGTCAGATACCGAGGAAGAATCAGAACAGTCAGCCCTTGCAGTATATAGACCATATCAACCACCTCAGGGATTCCCAGAAATTGCTGCCAATTTCGCTAGGGAACTGTATAATCATCTAGTTTCAGATGATAAATTTACATCAAATTTTAAAACTGGAGTAACGTTGTTTGCAGCTAAAGATTATCTATCAAAATTTGCAGTTTCTATTGAATCATCATACCCTTCGATAACACCTGATGAATTAAATTCAGCTTTCCGATCAGCACTTTCGGCTCTTTCCGAAACGTCAGACTTGTATGATTTAGCAGCTCTTATAGCAAATATTACCTCTGAAACCCTTTTAAAATATCATGCAATTAGCGTGGACAGTTATTCATCAGACACTCAAACTGTATTAAAAGCCTCTAATGAGGGATTAGGTCAAACCATATCAACAGCTCAACAATCTTTATCGGAAACAGAACAAGAAGTCGGCTATCAAGCTACTGTCGGAACAGCTTCTTTTGCAGCAGATTTTGGAAGACAGATATATAACGCTCTTCTTTCAAGCATAAGATTTAGCGACGCTTTTACGGGAGCTATCACATTGCTCAAAATAAGGCCATTCTTCACAATTTTGGCGGAGAATATAATTGCTATTCCTCAATTTAGTTCGCTTACACTGAATGATTTGGTGGATCCTTATATTTCTGCTGTTCTCCAAATCCCCCCGGGTTCCGCACTTCGTATTTATGCCCAAGAAATTGCTCGATTAACGGTTAGCATTCTCTTATCCAAGAACTTGCTAACTTCCGAAGCCGCTTCACTTGCAGGAACATCCATTCAAAGTGCAATAGCTGCAGCTGTAGAAACCTCTTCAGCTACCCGAACGGACTCTTCTACCACAACCTCTGAGCTCGAGACTGCGGAATCACAAAGTCACCTAGTACTGAGCGATGAAATTGGTTATACGGCCAGAGCAGGAGCAACTATTCTCGAATCCGCGCTCGGAGAGAAATTCTACAATGCACTGATAACGAATGCAGGATTTCAACAGGCGTTTGACGGAGAAATACTGATTGAAAGATTGAGAGCGTTCATTAATGCTCTGGCTAGCCAAATAATAGCCATACCTCAATTTAGATCTTTGGAGCTGGATGTCTTACTCCGTCTATATACAGAAGCCATTCTTTCTATTGCGAGCGGTTCACCACTGCGATTATATGCTCAGGGAATTTCCGAGACTACAGCTCAGTTACTCTACTCCAGAAACTTACTCACATTGCAGCTTGTTGACAATTTAGATAGCGCGATAGAAACTGCTGTATCGAGGGCAATTTCTGAATTACAACTCAGCACTAGTGGAGCAGAATTGGAGAAGAAGAGGAAAGCACCACTGTGACAACAGAAGAAGCGATAGGAGTTACGACACAAGAAGAAACTCTGGAAGAAGAAGAAGCAGAAGAAGAAGCGGAACTTGAAGATCAAGCTGCTCGACTACAAGCGCAGGCATATGTGGCACCTGACGGCTTAACGACTTCTCAAATTTTGTTCGCCAGAGCATTGTACCTCAACTTGCTACAAGATGGAACATTCAGATCAGCGTTCAGTGCTGGGCTATCTGTGGACGCTGCTAGGGAGGTGTTTTCACGTGCTGCAATTTCTTTGTCCCTCCTTCCGCCATTAAGTCGAGTCCGTCCCGTAAAATTTACTGTCGCATACAGAACTGCACTTTCTTTGCTATCGGATGACGGTACCTTGTCAGGTTTCGCTAAAGTGTTCGCGGACGGGACAACGTTAGTCCTTGCGAACTACGCTTTGATTGAAGAAGGAAACGAAGAGAATCTAGCAACGCTGGTTGTGAGCGCATTAAGCAGTGGTATAGAAGGCGCGTGCTGAAGGCATCTTTGCTGAAGCATCCGAAACTGAAGCTACGGCAGAAGAAACAGAGTCGATATCCACTACCACTTCTGCTCTCGAAACGGCAGCAACGACTGAAGAATCTGTCTCCAAAACTGAGGAAGAGGTTGGCTTCCAGGCTGCAGCCGGAACATCTTCTTATGCAGCAGAGTTTGGAAGACAGATATACGATGCTCTTCTTTCAAATCCAAGGTTTACTGAAAGTTTTACGGGAGAAATCACACTGCTGCGAATAAGGCCGTTCTTCACAGTTCTCGCGGAGAATATAATAGCTATACCTGTGTTCAGTTCGCTTACGCTGAATGACTTGGTAGATCCTTACATTTCTACAGTTCTGCGGATAGAACCCGGTTCACCACTTCGTGCTTATGCCCAGGAAATTGCAGGATTAACTGTTGAAATTCTGTTATCCAAGAACTTGCTAACTTCCGAAGCTGCTTCACTTGCAAGAACATCTGTGCAAAGCGCAATCTCTACAGCCTTAGAAACTACTTCAAGTACAACGGAAACTTCAACAACTTCTGCCGTCGAAACGGCGGAATCCGAAAGTGGGCTCGAAGCGGGCGAAGAAGAGGGTGTCGCTACAGGATATGTTGCCAGGGTCGGTGCGCCAGCAATCGTCTCAGAATTGGCCGAACAAATATACGTGGCCCTTCTACGAAATCCAGCGTTTTCTTTGGCTTTCGGTGACGAAATATCTCCTGAAACATTCAGACCTTTCCTCACCACATTCGCAACCCGCATCACTTCTATACCAGCCTTTAGTTCCTTACTTGTTAGCACTTTGGTCGATCAGAACGTAGCAGCAGTCCTTCGCATAGGTGCGGGATCACCTTTAACGCTATATGCGAAAGTAATCGCTGAAGACACTGCTCAACTGCTTTACGAGAACGATTTGTTGACGCAGCAGTCACTTGCAGCATCATCTTCTGCCATTCAGACTGCGGCAACCGAACTTCTGAAGCAGAAACTATTACGACTACAACGGAAGTTGCAGAAACTGCTTCAGCGGCTCTGGGTACTTCAGAAACGGAAGCAGGTGCTTACACGGCCGGCGAAGGAGCCACAGCTCTGGAATCTGCTCTCGGAGAAAAACTGTATAATGCTCTTATTACGAATGAAGGTTTCAGACTGGCATTCGCCGGAGAAATTTTAATACAAAACATCAGACCGTTCCTCACTGCTCTGGCTACCCAAATAATAGCCATACCGGAATTTAGCTCTATACAGTTGGATGACTTGGTCGGACTCTATATAGAAGCTGTTCTCTCTATTAGCGCCGGTTCACCTTTGAGGTTATATGCTGAAAGAATTGCTCAGACAACAGCTCGCCTTCTCTTCTCCAGGAACTTACTCACATTGCAGCTTGTGGAGAGGTTGGATAGCGCAATAGCAACTGCTGTATCGACAGCAATTTCTGAAGCCGAAATCGGTGCAACTGCAGAAGAAGAGGAAAGCACCACTGTGACAACAGAAGAAGCGATAGGAATTACGACACAAGAAGAAACTCTGGAAGAAGAAGAAGCAGAAGAGGAAGCGGAACTTGAAGATCAAGCGGCTCGACTACAAGCGCAGGCATATGTGGCACCTGACGGCTTAACGACTTCTCAAATTTTGTTCGCCAGAGCATTGTACCTCAACTTGCTACAAGATGGAACATTCAGATCAGCGTTCAGTGCTGGGCTATCTGCGGACGCTGCTAGTAGGTGTTTTCACGTGCTGCAATTTCTTTGTCCCTCCTTCCGCCATTAAGTCGAGTCCGTCCCGTAAAATTTACTGTCGCATACAGAACTGCACTTTCTTTGCTATCGGATGACGGTACCTTGTCAGGTTTCGCTAAAGTGTTCGCGGACGGGACAACGTTAGTCCTTGCGAACTACGCTTTGATTGAAGAAGGAAACGAAGAGAATCTAGCAACGCTGGCAGTGAGTGCATTAACCAGTGGTATAGAAAAGGCACGTGCTGAAGGCATCTTTGCTGAAGCATCCGAAACTGAAGCTACGGCAGAAGAAACAGAGTCGATATCCACTACCACTTCTGCTCTCGAAACGGCAGCAACGACTGAAGAATCTGTCTCGGAACTGAGGAAGAGGTTGGCTTCCAGGCTGCAGCCGGAACATCTTCTTATGCAGCAGAGTTTGGAAGACAGATATACGATGCTCTTCTTTCAAATCCAAGGTTTACTGAAAGTTTTACGGGAGAAATCACACTGCTGCGAATAAGGCCGTTCTTCACAGTTCTCGCGGAGAATATAATAGCTATACCTGTGTTCAGTTCGCTTACGCTGAATGACTTGGTAGATCCTTACATTTCTACAGTTCTGCGGATAGAACCCCGTTCACCACTTCGTGCTTATGCCCAGGAAATTGCAGGATTAACTGTTGAAATTCTGTTATCCAAGAACTTGCTAACTTCCGAAGCTGCTTCACTTGCAAGAACATCTGTGCAAAGCGCAATCTCTACAGCCTTAGAAACTACTTCAACCACAACGGAAACTTCAACAACTTCTGCCGTCGAAACGGCGGAATCCGAAAGTGGGCTCGAAGCGGGCGAAGAAGAGGGTGTCGCTACAGGATATGTTGCCAGGGTCGGTGCGCCAGCAATCGTCTCAGAATTGGCCGAACAAATATACGTGGCCCTCCTACGAAATCCAGCGTTTTCTTTGGCTTTCGGTAACGAAATATCACCTGAAACATTCAGACCTTTCCTCACCACATTCGCAACCCGCATCACTTCTATACCAGCCTTTAGTTCCTTACTTGTTAGCACTTTGGTCGATCAGAACGTAGCAGCAGTCCTTCGCATAGGTGCGGGATCACCTTTAACGCTATATGCGAAAGTAATCGCTGAAGACACTGCTCAACTGCTTTACGAGAACGATTTGTTGACGCAGCAGTCACTAGCAGCATCATCTTCTGCCATTCAGACTGCGGCAACCGAAGCAACTGCTGAAGCAGAAACTATTACGACTACAACGGAAGTTGCAGAAACTGCTTCAGCGGCTCTGGGTACTTCAGAAACGGAAGCAGGTGCTTACACGGCCGGCGAAGGAGCCACAGCTCTGGAATCTGCTCTCGGAGAAAAACTGTATAATGCTCTTATTACGAATGAAGGTTTCAGACTGGCATTCGCCGGAGAAATTTTAATACAAAACATCAGACCGTTCCTCACTGCTCTGGCTACCCAAATAATAGCCATACCGGAATTCAGCTCTTTACAGTTGGATGACTTGGTCGGACTCTATATAGAAGCTGTTCTCTCTATTAGCGCCGGTTCACCGTTTGAGGTTATATGCTGAAAGAATTGCTCAGACAACAGCTCGCCTTCTCTTCTCCAGGAACTTACTCACATTGCAGCTTGTGGAGAGGTTGGATAGCGCAATAGCAACTGCTGTATCGACAGCAATTTCTGAAGCCGAAATCGGTGCAACTGCAGAAGAAGAGGAAAGCACCACTGTGACAACAGAAGAAGCGATAGGAATTACGACACAAGAAGAAACTCTGGAAGAAGAAGAAGCAGAAGAGGAAGCGGAACTTGAAGATCAAGCGGCTCGACTACAAGCGCAGGCATATGTGGCACCTGACGGCTTTAACGACTTCTCAAATTTTGTTCGCCAGAGCATTGTACCTCAACTTACTACAAGATGGAACATTCAGATCATCTTTATCTATTTCGCTGCCGCAGGATTCTTTAACGGAGGTGTTTTCGCGCATTGCCCTTTCGTTTTCTGCCTTTCCTGAATTTAGCCAAGTCCGCTCTGTTAAGTTCGTTGTTGCTTTCAGGAAGGGTCTTTCCTCTCTTTTTGATGATGGCACCCTAGTCTCGTACGCTAAGCTTTTCGCTGATGGTACAACCTTTGTGTTTGCAAAGTATTCTTTGATTGAAGAGGGAAGCGAAACAAATCTAGCAGCTCTGGCAGCTAGTGCAATAAGGAGTGGTTTAGAAAAGGCACGCTCTGACGGCATTATTTCTGAAATATCGGAAACTGAAACTGCTTCTAGTGAAACTACAGCTTTATCTGAGGAAGGAACTATTACATCCGCTCTGGAAACGACTGAAATCGCTGAAGAGTCTGTATCGGAAACCGAAGATGCTGGTTATCAAGCTGGTGTTGAATCACCTACTTTTGCAGCAGATTTTGGAAGAGAGATATACAATGCTCTTCTTTCAAATCCCAGATTTACTGACGCATTTACAGGAGAAATCACATTGCTGAGAATAAGACCATTTTTCACAGTTCTGGCAGAAAACATAATAGCTATCTCTCAGTTCAATTCACTTACGCTGAATGACTTGGTGGATCCTTACATTGCTGCTGTTCTTCAGATAGCACCCGGTTCACCAATTCGAGCTTATGCGCAAGAAATTGCTGAATTAACGGTTCGAATTCTCTTATCGAAAAATTTGCTGACGCCTAAAGCCGTTGCACTTGCGAGAGCATCTGTCCAGAATGCAATCGCTACAGCTTTGGAAACCTCAGCAGCGCAAGAAATTTCAGCCACTGGTGCAGTTTCTGTGGCATCTACGTCTGCTGATATCTCAGTTGAGACTGGTTCTAGACGTACAGGCATTCTTCCTGGAGTTACTGCTTATGTTGCTCGAGATGGGGCGTCGGATATTGAGGAAGCTTTTGGATCACATTTATATGGAACGCTGTTAGTAAATCCTCGATTTTCGTCTTTATTCGGTTCAGAATTTTCTTTAGAAAAAGTACGGCCTTTCTTGTTTGCTCTTGCTTCTCATATTCACTCTTTCTCTCAGTTTTCTTCTATATCTGTCAATGACCTCCTTGAAAGATATATCGAAGTTGTGAATGCCTTACCCCTTGGTTCATCTGTGCAGGCGTATGCTCTTGCTTTGTCCCAAGCAACAGCCGAATTGTTATATGAAAACAATTTGCTGTCTTGGGATGCTCTGGCTAAAGAAGACGCTGAAGCTGCAGGGTCGGGTGAAGCTATATCAAGCAGTGAAGCTCAAGCAACAGATTCTTCGATTTTGGTGTCCACTTCTACCGCTGAAAGTGCTGCAGCTGAAACGGCTGCATCTGCTGTTCTTTCACCTAGCGTTCTATCTATACTTAGCTCTTCTGAATCCGAAAAGAGGATTGCATCTCTAATATCTGTCATCATCTCTTCACTGCCGACACCAGGAGGAAAATTCGACTATCTAACGTTTGCTCGTGGTCTCGCAAGTTTACTCTCAGATATCAGAGCTGGAAATCCGTCATATTCAGCGTCAGATGTTATAACAGAAGGTTTGCTTGAAGCACTTGTTGCTTTCATACAAATGGAAGAATATATTACTTTAAGTGATCGTCCTATCGAGTACTCGGATTATGTAACTAAAGCCATTTCAGATTCACTTAATGTTGCATTTAAATCACAACAGTTGATTTAAAGTGCAAAGCTGAACGTTGCAGAATTGTAATTTATTTAGGCTGTATCTTTGAACTTTTCAATTGTGATACTAAGAAATATTTTCATCTGCATGAAAAATATTGTAAACATATTTGTTGTATGTATTGTAATCTAAAGAACACTTTTGATCAAATTTTATAAAAGCAGATGCTAACTTTAATACTTTTGAAGTGTCTTACTAATGAATATTACAAAACTTCTATATCCATTTAAAAATATTGCAAGTCGTGTTCAGTTTATGTGAATAAAAGTGCGATATTTATAAAATGTTTTATGTCCATTTATCAGATCTTAACTTTAAGAACACTTAAATTATTTAATTACATCTATTCACAAAATGTAAACATATAATTTAAGGTGACCTACTTCATGTAATTAAGTTAAGAGATATATTTTTCTAGCAAAACAAAAGTTTGATTATTTACTTATTTATATTATTTGCAAGTTGTAAAATACCAGATAGCAGGTGTATTGTTTCATCTTGTGAAAAGAAATTGCGGGTAATTACTTTATTTTATTTCTTATTTGTTTCGTTTATTATGGTAATAAATTTGAAATTTTATTAACCTAATGCAGATGCAAAATAATTCAGTTTCTTGCCCTTTATTTCATTTTTTGCAAACAATTTTTGTCTACTAAGCAAAATGTATTATAATTACAGTCTCCTTCTTTAATTGCTTTTCGAAATAGTTATCTCTTTCTGATTATTAAGAGTGTATATTATTGCATGTTAGCAACATTTATTAATGTAATGTTGTCTGGTTCCTGTCTTATTGATCAGGAGAGAAATTTGACACCAATTAAGAAAGAGCAATATAATATTTTTTAAATATGTTGCTGTACATGAAAAATGAAATAAGCTTTCTTCAGCAAACTAAATATTTTCAAGTCACTTTGATTACCTTCGGTCATGGAACAAACTAAAATAATACGTTTTCTAGTTGATAATACAATTATATACGAACGCTACGCTTACGTTTTGTCATTTTAGGTAAAGAAACGTACCTAAAATATCTCTAACAAAGTACAATTTGATTTTTAAGAGTGAGATATAATAATTAACGAAGTTATAAATGTATGTCTCAAAGATACGTATGCTTTCATCTCCCTCTGCTGATACAGTTTAAGAATTAATTATATACATTGTTCATTCTTTATTAATTCTTACATATAATTCATTGCATTCTTACATATAATTCTTACATTATAAATTCATTATATACATTGCAATTCTTTATCTGGTAGTGCATATATACGTAATTTTGCATCCTAACGTGTACAATAAAATTATGTTGTCATTGTTTAGAAGCTACATTCGGTATTAAATTTGTTAACAAACATTGGATAAAATAGCACATGTCATGTTCCCTTTTAAGAAGATTTATTGCATTATTTTATAAACCTCTTGCCTTACATGATCCCCTCTGGTGGATTTTCCCAGCCCGCTTAACTGGTAGAGTTGTGTTTATTTACAGCTGTTATATTAGGAGCATGAAATGTTTAGTTGAATTTAATTTCACTATGCAGATTTTACTATACTGTTTTTTCCCTGCAAAAATTGACTACAATTGACAATTTATTTAATAGGTTTACAAGTTCTTGCACTTTATGAAGCGAAACGAATAAATTCACTGTGTGCGTAGCGAACGTTAGAAATGAATGCAGTAAATTAAATTATGGTCTTCCTACATATTAATTTGAAGAATGGCTTAGTTATTATACACATATTCCAGTATATACACATAATTCCAGTAAATATACTGAAATTCAGCTGATATTCTAGAAAGGTTTATGAAGTTCTTGCTTACCTATTACTAACTTAAATGTTATACTTTAATTAATATCTCACCAGATTTCATTACAGATTTAAATGCTTTAGAATTAATGACTAACTGCTGTGTTGTTTGTTAATTTATGTATCAGCGTAATTATTTCAGATTTTATAAAATTCAAAATAAGTTTATAATAACAATATAAGATATAAGTTTAATCAGTATCAAATCAAACAAGCAACAATAAGGCCTAATTTTTTTATCGACAAATAAATATTTTAAATGCACGAATTAACTTTTCCAATTAAAAAAATCATAAGTTTAAAAAATTGATTGTATTGTAATGTTGACCGGCCCCAACCTGCACTCAACAATAGTGGTGACTGCTATGAATTGGAAAGTACACAAAGTCTTGAGAAGGGTTTAAATCCCTTTCTATTCAACTTTAGAAATTACAGATGCGTGCTCTTGACGCTCACAACTACGCCGACCCGGCGGTAAAATAAAAATAAGAAACTAAAAATGAATAATAACAAGTGACTACCTACAAGGCTCTCTAAATGTAACTAACCTAACCGCGTTCTAAAATACCGCTGATAATTCAGCAAACTTCTGAATATTACGTTGAAAGATTTAACTATCTGCTGAGGCAAGCACACAAACCGAAACGCGCGGTTCTTCAATTTCTACCTAGCCACCTCCACGCTCGTGAAGCAAGAAAGCACACTTTCGAACTCGTTTCCCTTCTATTTAACTCAGAATACTTCCACTGACTATTTTGAATACTTTGCGCGTTATACTAAAATTTACATACTCTGGCATTGGCAATTCCAGGGGAAAGTAAGGCTTGACAGAAAAGATAGTTTAAACTTAAAATAAATGTTAGTTAAAATAAATATAAAGATCTATCTTATTTCAAATGAACAGAAAGCAAGTGTTTTCTTATTCAACAATTACAGTACTCTCGCATACTTACAAGAAATGAATTAGGTTATTTAACTAATGCGCGATCAATTTTATTCCTTATTTACATGAATGACATATCAAAAATGCTGTGTAGGCTGGTGACCTAGCGATCATGACTCAAAATACATCTCTGTGTTCAGTCATGCACTCGTTACAAGCATATAACCATGAACTGGAGTCCTAGCTTCAGCAGGTACATTTTGCTGTGCTATGCAATCTCCATGGGTCCTAAATTCTAAAAACTTTTCCACTACTAAATTCCAAAAATTTTACTACTTAATTTTTCTGTAAATTCCATTTCCAAAATTTTGCACACCTGCCATAACCGCCATGGCTGTGGCCTCAGTTATCCAATGTTCTAACAAAGTCAAGTATTGTAACGTTGTTTTAGACCAAAGTTTCTTAAACTGTGGATCGCTACTTCCATCTGCAGAAGGGGGTCGCAAAAGATTTAGCAGTTTTGGTATTTCTTTAACTTGTTATAATAATTTTACAATTACCAAATATTTTTACACAATGTATCTGAAAATAGATAAAGATAAGACTTTACAGACAAAGAGTCAAACGAAAGCCTTTCGACACATTTTTTCGTATAATATAAACGTTCATTTCACTTACTTTGCACATGACGCTGTCATTTCGTCTGTTACTTAATAAAATTTTCACATTTAAAGTCCTCAAATTAGAAATTAAAGTTAATGCAATAATGTATTACAGTGAAAAAATTGACAGTTTCACTCACGCGTGTGTCGGATTTTCACAATGCTTATGGAGTTTCACAAAATTTTCGTAAATATTTTCGGGTCCTGGAGTCGCGAAAAAATCTCAATAATAAAAAGAGGTCACGACTGAAAAAAGTTTAAGAAGCCCTGTTTTAGACCAATCAATTTCCTGACGCCAACCCATTTTTTTTTTGTTTTGTTTCTCAGCCGAATTATATTACTGTGGGAATTTTTCTATATTTTTACTGTTAATTTCTATATTTTTACTATTTATATATATTTAAAAAGATTTACTACATTTAGGGTACACTCGACCTAAAAAATTAGTTATGTTGACCCATATGTCTTAATTAAAAAATTAGTTATGTTTACGCATGTTTTACTTATGGTTTTCGCATATTAGAGTTTAATTTAGTATGACGTAATTGCATTACTAGTTCATATATAGATGCATGCATATTGTAATTTCATGAGCTAAAGTCTCGGCTCATATTGGTTTTTATACTATTCTTCAAAGCGTTTTGATTCTCAAGCAAATGCTTAACCTTTTAACTGTCATGCCCGAGATTATCTCGGGCACAGCACTGGTGTTCGAAAATGTCACGCCCGAGTATTTCTCGTGGTAATTTTTTTTGAGTGCATCGTATTGTCATACCCGAATATATATCGGGAGATGTTTATTTTGGCTACATTTGGTTTTTCCAATAAAAAAAATGACAATTTGTGTACCCAAATCATCAAAATAACTTGACAGTTAAAAGGGTTAAGAAACTGAAGAGCAGAAACTTGGCAAGCAACCCCAACTACGTCTTCAGTCTCTTCTTCCGGTTTCATCTGCGAGAAGCTGATGAACTAGCCCTATTCCGTATTAGGCAGGAGGAGACAGGTGCTAACTACCAAGGTAGGCAAAAGCCAATAGTGGCTTTTGCCTACCTTGGTAGGGCTTAGCTGACGTGCGCTGCCTCGTTTTAGCCTAAACGAGGCAGAACACGTCGGCTGAGAAGGGAGGCTTCAAAGAAAAGCCGAACGGCTAAGAGAGGAGGGAGTTCCTTTCGGCTAATAAAAAGGGAAGAAGCAAAAAGCTAAAAACTGGTCTAAGAAGGGGAGAGCCTTCGTGGCTAATAAAGAAGAGGAACAGGCAAAATGAAGCAAAGCCTATCTACAAAAGGGGTATAAGAGGGAAGGCCAAATTGTGAAAGGGAAAGAGAAAGCTTTGCAAACTTAAAACCAAAAAGAGGGGACGTCATGACGGCTAAAACAGGATGTGAATAGACGGCCAGTGAGGTTACAGTGCTGGTGGAATAAAAAAAAAAAAAAAAAAACTTTTTTTTTTGTTTTACATAAATGAACAATTAATTAAGCTAATTTTCCCCTTCTGCTTCCAAAAAATACCTAATGTCTCCAGAGTACCGCCCGAATTAAAAGGGTGGTGGATGATGATTCTCCATACTCAGGATTTGGCGATTGGGTCTTCTAAAACTCCAGTCGCCCTTTAGAAAGGGGAAGTATATAAGGTGTTTCTCTCGCTTTCTTAGCGTGCCTTCGGGGTGTAGTGGTCTGCATGCTGGGCGCGAATTCCAGAGGTCCGTTGTTCGATTCCCGGCGAAGGAGTTGCTCATTTTTCATGTCTCCTGCTTCCAAATGACCTATTGACTCTACAAGATATTTAAATTCTAAATCTAAATGTGAGTCAACCGTTACAGTCTTAATCTGCATCTTGACCAAATTTAAAGTCTTACAGACGATAAACGTGTGTGGTTCAAAACATACATATCTTCTTGAAGGAAAATAGTTTAGAATTTGATTCACAACAAAGTTACAGTTCGACGCGTATTAAACAGCTAACTCTGTTTATTCATGGGGGTACATTTACTCATTTCGAACTTTCTACCCGCATTAAGACTCCCTCCTTGCTCTCCAGCATGGTGTACAGTATGTACAGGCGTGCTTTGTGTAAAAAGGGTAAAACACTACCGACTACCTCACATCTATTTGTTAGAACAAGACCACCTAGACCTAAGAGAAACATCCTACAATCAGTTCTAAGCCAGAGGTACTAACGCTGGTGAAAATTAACTTAGTGTTGGCTGGAGAGCCTAACATTTTACTTT